TTATCTTGTATTTTTCATTTCACCTGATAAAAAAAACATTTCTTTTTATGCTTTATTTCTAAATAATCATTAATTTCATTATTACTTAAAAATATTTTATCAATCCTCCTTTATTACATTTTATACATAACTTAATTCTTAATTAAAAGTTAGGTGAATGGATAAGGAATATAATATATATTATTTGTTGTTAAAATATAGTGCTTAAATGCATTAAAAACAGTTATTTTCATATCATCATTTACTGTGAATATTATTAATAATAACATTTTATATATTATAAAAAATACAAATATCAGAGAAATATTATTATAAAAATATATAACATTTCTTCGATTAAATTATATAATATTATAAAACATTTGGTTATATACTAAAATAAATAATTGAAAGATGAATATCCAATGGTTTGAATGATGTTTGTGATGAATAACTCAATGAATATTTTTTTCATGCTTTTTATATTTAGATAATAAATCTTTCAATTCATATACTAAGAACAATTAATTATGTCATTTATTATCAAAACTATAGAATGTGAAATAAATAAGAGTGTGTATTAGAAATAAAATGAAATAAGAAAAATCAATTTATAATTCTTGTAATAGTTTTATTCTAAATATTATTTATACATTTCCAACAATATAGTCAAAGAAATTATTAACAACATTTTTATATTTGATTGTACTTGTCTTATCATTAGAGCTTTACAAAGAGATGTTAAACAAGTGGTTAAATATAATTACTGAATAAATATAAATCAGCATTAAAAATATTAAAAAGAAAATTAATGAAAACAAATTGGTTTAATACTAAAAAGTATAAACACAATATAAATTGTTAATAAAAATAATAAAAACAATAAATATAGAAGAAATGAAATTGATTTAATTATATTTATATTGATACCAAAGAATGATATAAAGCGTATATAAAAAATGAAAAATAGGCATTAATAACATCACCTTATTGAAACTAATAACAACAATAAAATACAAATAAGAAATAATGAAAATGAGTCTTATTTAAATCAAAATTTACATTTAATGTAATAGATATAGAGATAAACAAAAAATATCAAAATATTCGATTTATAATTCATATATTCATTATTTTATGATTTGTTAAACCAATTCAATATTTCATTGAAACTTTTACAACAATTCATGAATTTTTAATCTTTCTCATCTTATACGATATTATTTTCTCATTTTTATAATTCCTAAACATTTACATATTATTTATAATATCTTGATTTTTGTTTAAATTTTATTTTAATTATAAATGAATCAAATAATGGTTTGATGATTATAATAAATATTTTAATCATTATTTAGTTTATGTATTGATTGAAATAAAAGTTAATATACGAAAATTGATTAACTATTTGAATAAAATAAATTTATTATTTTATCTCAATACTATTTGTTAATAACATCTTCTTTTTTATGATATTTAGTTATATAATTTCATTAAAAATGAAAAGTTATGTACACTGTAAAAATATAATAATATATTAGAAGTCATATATCATTTTATTATTACCAAACTTCTTTCTCAAGACATTCTCTTGAAATTCTCGTATTATATTTTAATTAATAATCATAGCCATAATCAAAGAAACAAGAAATCACAAATTTGTTGGTGTTGATATATTGATATTAGGTAATGAAATACATCAACCAAAACAGCCATTATCTATTTTTACAATTTGGTGTTGGTATATTAATTAATTTATTGCTGAACGTCATTCAAAATAATTATTTCATAGTTTAGTAACTTACTGGTGTGTTGATTGTTCTTATT